GGGGGGGGGGGGGGGGGGGGGGGGGTGACCAGAATGCACAGGGGGGTGTGTCTCTTTGTTATATGGGTGCTCTGTGTGTTTGTGTGTGTGTGCGTGTGTGTCCTTTGGAAAGATCAGAGTTGCAGAAGTGAGGGAAAGAGGAAGTGGGAGTGAGGAGGGGTAGAGATGGAGTGAGGCATGTTTTTTTTAGAGGAATGAAAGAGTGCTCTGTGTTCGGCTGTGGGGTCACGCTGGGGGGGGGAACGCAGGGCAGAGGAATAGCGATGTTGGAGGAGGGCACGCATGGCAGAGGAATAGTGACATTTGGGGGGGGGGGGACACACACACGCTAGGCAAAGATTTACCGACGCCGGGGGGGCGGGTTCACAAGGCAGAGGAGTAGAGACACCAGGTACCAACGTGCACGTGCCACGCTGGTGGGGAGTGCTCAGGGGAGGACTGAGGAGGCCTGTGGGGTGAATAAGACCTTTGAGAACCCACCCCCCCCAACACTCAATTATCCCCCCACATCTGTACTGGTGAACAAATATTTACCCTGAAATGAGACAGGGCAGCACTCGACACAACAGCCCCCCAGGATAGAGGAAGCAGCATCCACAGCACGACTTCATGCTCATCTGGTACTGCCCCACCCCCCCAGTCTGAGCTCTCAGTGCTTGGGACAGGGGCTGAAAAGCTGGTTTTTAACGCTGAGGCCCCTTTGCAGCACAGCCACCCGCCACTATAATCCGGTGCCATGCGGACACGGTCACGGTGGGTCACATGACCTCAGACTCATGACTAGTCAGACGTGCCGGTAGATCTGGAAAAGTGAATGATCCGGCAGGGTGGTGGGGTAGTTCGGGTTGCCTTGGCACCTCTGTGTGCGTTTGTTTATGTGTGTGTATGGGTAACTGTCTTTTTGGGGACATCTGTAACAGATGCTGTAAAAAGCAAATGCTTTTGGGGCATCCCCAAGAGATTTATTTAAAAAGCTTTTTTTTTTTTTTTGCCTTTAAAAAAGCTAATAGGAGAATTCCAATGCATTGGATTGATTTGTGTGTGTGTGTGTTTTTTTTTTGTGTGTGTGTGGGTGTGTGTGTGTGTGTGATTGCGTATGTTTCTGTGAGTGTGTGTCTATGAATTAGATGCACTGGATTGGTGTGTGTTTTTCTGTGAGAGTGTTAATGTGATTGTGTGTCTATGTGTGGGTGTGTTTCTGTGAGCATGCATTGGTGTGTTTCTGTGAGTGTGCGTCTGTGTGTGGGTGTATTTCTGTGAGCGTGTATTGGTGTGTTTTTGTGAGTGTGTGTGTGTGGGTGTGTTTCTGTGAGCGTGCATTGGTGTGTTTCTATGAGTGTGTGTGTGTGGATGTGTTTCTGTGAGCGTGTATTGGTGTGTTTCTGTGTGTGTGGGTGTGTGGATGTGTTTCTGTGAGCGTGCATTGGTGTGTTTCTGTGAGTGTGTGTGTGTGGATGTGTTTCTGTGAGCGTTTATTGGTGTGTTTCTGTGTGCGTGGGTGTGTTTCTGTGAGCGTGCATTGGTGTGTTTCTGTGAGTGTGGGTGTGTTTCTGTGAGCGTGCATTGGTGTGTTTCTGTGTGTGTGGGTGTGTTTCTGTGAGCGTGTATTGGTGTGTTTAGAACTGTGTGTGTGGGTGTGTTTCTGTGAGCGTACATTGGTGTGTTTCTGTGAGTGTGTGTCAGTGTTTCTGTGAGCGTGCATTGGTGTGTTTCTGTGAGTGTGTGTCAGTGTTTCTGTGAGCGTGCATTGGTGTGTTTCTGTGAGTGTGTGTGCTTCTTCCCTCTGTCCCCCCCATGCCCCTGTGTGCCTGTCCGTATCCAGGCCCCTGCTGTGTTTACCCTCTGTACCTCTTCCTCTCTGCGTGTGAACAGCGGCTCCCTGTTTACACAGCCAGTTTAAAGTGTGCATAGTGACTTCCCCCCCGCCGCCCAGCCGGGCAGGGCAGTGCTGGCTCTGTGTTCGCACTCGTCCCAATGTGTCAGGAGCATGGGGTGGGGGGGGGGGGGGGGGGGGGGGGTGTGGGGGATGAGATGGCATGGGGGGGGCCTGAGAGGGATGGCTTGAGCCACCCCCAGCCCCCTTTGAGACGCCGCTGCGCTCCATTCCCCCCTGACCCAGCCGGGACCGTGTGGTCACTGTGTGGTTAGTGAGTGTTTACACAGCACAGCAGAGATATTTACAGCCATTACTGACCACAACGAGCAGTCGAGCCGCAAGCAGGAGCCCGGGCTGGAGTGCGGGGTCACACACTCACCGGCTGTGCAGCTGTTGGCTGTGTTTCCGTGTGCGGGGCGTGTGTGTGTCTCAGAGCCATGGCTCGACCAAAAACGGGAATACAGATGGTGTACGGATTTCTCCACAGGACAATTGTTTGTTGTTGTTTTTTTTTTTTTTTTTAAAGAATGTGTGGTTGTGTGCTGGGGGGGGTCATTTAGTCTCATCCCGCAAGTAATGTTTGCTCAGTTTGTTTATCAGGCTGCCACCAGCTAGCAGTGTGTTTACGCACTGGAGTGTGTGTCCCCTCATGAGAGAAAGCACACCGACCTTCGTCAGTGTGCTCTGAAATGCTCCAGCTGTTTGCTGCAGCTGTGTGTGGAGATGACTGAGAATCGGATTGCTGAGAGAATTAGGGAGCGGGGAGATGGGGGGGGGGGGGGGTGTCGCTGTGCTGGGGAGGTCAGTGCAAGTGCGAGACTGAACACGGCCATGAGAAACGTAGAAGTCCAAACCCGAATGGCCATGCCAGCCCGCAGACCCTCCACTCTGCTGCGCACATGTGTGTGAGACGCCTGCAGCAAGGTGTCTGTGTCTCTGCTCAGGCTGCTGGAAAGTATCACCATCAAAAGCTGTAACTGGCAATATTTACTGCCCTCCTCCAACTCCGTACTCTCCACAAGGCGGTTAATGTATCCATGTGTCTGTCTGTTTGTATTAGTGCGTCGGTGATTTTTTTCGGCGTTGTACTTTCAATTCCAGCAGGTGTGCCCAGGGGGCGCCGTGGACCCTAGGGTGGAGCAGTGCTCGTCCTTCAACAGCCAGGAGTTCATGGGCAGGCTGTATGACTGGGAGCCCTTCACTGAGGGTAAGTTAGAGGTGGGAGGGCAGCAATCCAATGTAGGTTTCTGTACCAGGGGGGTGTATTCCACGAGTCGCAGCACACTGGGAGCTTGAGGGAGGGGCTGAATAATTACCAAAAATAAACTTTATATTTTCTAGCCACCCTGTTTTTAAGATCCCCAACATTTGTGTCTTCTGACGACATAAAAAAAAATGGAAACACTTTAACTTATTAAATCTGGTTTGCCAGTCGATCTGCTGGGACCCCCCCCCCCCCCCCCCTCTCCCAAATCCCTAACCTGCACCCACCTGCCTGGCAAGCTTTACTGCCCCTGACTGGAACCCCAACACTATATTACCTGGGTTAAGCTCCACCCCCTATGGGCTGAATCACCAATCTGGTTCTGCGTCACGCGTGTTCCTCTGTTATGGAGTTTGGTGGATTCCTGGATTTCACCTGCGGCATCTGATCCATCAGCCCCCCCCCCCCAGTGACCCCCACCTGAGGCACATGGGGTGAAATTAATTACGCACAGAGCTTCATAATCGGGCGACTGTGCGTCCCGGGGAGTCAGACTCGTTAGGGCAGTGCTTTTAGCGGGAGGTGTTAATGACGTTAATGATATATTTCTCAGAGTGCTGTGAGCCCCCGTGAATTTGTGCCAGAAGCAGATTTACGATCTGTTTCAGCTTATTAAGCAGAAAGGCGTAAACAGAGGCATCAAAACTGCACGGTGACTCCACGGGGCGGCGGGGGGTCGTCGAAGGGAAGGTCATACAGCCTGGGGGGGTCTGAAGAAATGAAACCTAGTGCTTGGTAGGTTTGGTAAACTTTAGAGTTGACAAAAGTGCAGAAAGAGAGAATGAGGTTTCTGAGGGTGACGGTGGAAGGGATGGTGGCAGTTTGATGGGAGGATGGCAGGGACAGGCCATGATGCCCCCCAGGCTGACTTGGGGGGGTGGAGTTAGCAGACGTCCAGGAGGAAATGCCGTCCTTCTTGGCCTTCATTTTCGCAGAAGGCATCACAGCCCCATTTCTGCCTCTCTCGCAAATGTCTGTCACGCTCTCTCTTACTCTCTCTCTATTTCTCCCTCTCTTTCGCTCTTCCTTGTTGTCTCGGTTTCCTTCTGTCTCCCTCTCCGTCTCCCTGTCCTGCTCTGATTCTCCCTCCCTCTGTTTCCCTCTTTTTTCTCTTCCTCCCTCCCTCCTTCGTTGTCCTTACCGCCAAGTCCCTCCACCCAGCTCCCTCAGCGAATCGACAGGATTTTTTAAGAGTGAGATAAAGAGGGCCAGAGAGATCGGGGGTGGGGGGGCTTGGGGACAGATCAAGGCTGGAAAAGGGAGGCGGGGGGGGGGCAGCTCTGGGAACAGGCTGCAGTAACTGAGAAGTGTAAAGGGAGATCGGCGGCCGGAGCGCTTTAGGGGAAGGGATACCAGCATGGTGTGGGAACGCAGCCCCCGCAGGCTGGGGAGACACGTGCATAGAACAGACACACCTCCACACCTTGTGTGTGTGTGTGTGTGTGTGTGTGTGTGTACGCGTGCATTCCCTGACCCCTAACCCTACCGGACAGAGACTGACTTTGACTCCGACTCTGATAACAAACGGCCAGCCCCGCTCTCCGTAACCCAGCAAATGGTGTCTCTCGGGACACACTGGGGGGCGCTCCGGAGCGTGCTGGGGGAAGTGCACCAGAACTGGCAGAACACATCCATTCATTCATGGCAATGTATAGTCTACATAATTTCAGTCCATAACAGGGATCACACTCTCATAAAAACAGGGATAACTGTATAAATACCACAGCTCGAACCCAGAGCCGTGCAGGTGCATGTCTACAGTGCTACCCATGGAATCCCAGTGGCGCCCTCTAGGTAATTTACGTAACAGTTCACTGGGATGAATTTCCGTTGCATTCACAGGAAGACAAAGGATGGAGTGCAGAGTGGAGATGGATTCGGCTCTCTTAGTGTCTCTCCCACCACTGAAATTCAATCTTCCTCTTAAAGGTTCTGAAGCAAAATGAGCCCAGCGGCCTTTCCTAGGAATCCTGGCCGTTTTGGACTGTCGGAGTCTCCGCAGCTAAAGACGGCCCCTTGTGGATAGTAATGAGGAATCCGGTTTACAGCACACACGTGTTCTTACAACAATGCTACGTCTGACATGGCTAGTGTTTGCACACTCTACACGGTCATATCAGCTTCGTGTAACAAGGGAGTCTGTAAACAGGACTTGTTTTTTTAGATTCCACGTTGAAACAGACATTTCTACTGAAATGTCCTCAAGGGATATTTTTGTATCATTTCGTTCTGTTTAAGCACGTACAATAGATAGGAGCCTGCTTACTATACAAAGGAAAAAATAATTGTTTGAATCCTGTAGGCGCATGTAAACTCTTCAGAACACTGGAACTAGGATCAAAGTGTTCTCAGTGCTTTTTGAGGGCGGGGGCTGACTGCTACACCAGGGCCCGGCTTTGGGATTGGACCTCGACAGCTGAGGTATATAAACAGAAGCTGTATGTGAGGGGGCCGGCTAGAGGGGCTGAGCTCTCCAGCATAACACCATTCGGAGCTCGTCAGATGGGAGCCCCGAACTTGACAGTTGAGGCTCACATTGTTCTGGGTTTGTATACCTCCCTCCCCCCCCGCCCCCCAATTCCATCTCCCTGTCATTTGTATAGAGCCCGAGATAGCAGCCTGTATTTTTAGACTGAATGTACTCCACTGTCTGCGTGCTAATCTCAGCCCGATAGCAGAGAGAGCCGAGCAGCGGGGTTGGGGGGGGGCGTGGCATTGGCCCACTATTCTCTCTCTCTCTCACCCTCTCTTTCTCTGTCTTTGTTGCTTTCTTTTTCTCAGTCTCTCTCTCGCTTCCTGCTCAACCATCCTGTCACTGTCTCCACTCTAATCTCACTAAGATAACTGTAACAGAACAGGAAAGCAGGCACTTCGAGTGG